CGCTAAGGGGTGTATGGCTAACTGAGACGCTAAGGGGTGTATGGCTAACTGAGACGCTAAGGGGTGTATGGCTAACTGAGACGCTAAGGGGTGTATGGCTAACTAAGAGGCTTATGGGGCACACTGCTAACTGAGAAGCTAAGGGTGTACAACTACCTGAGAGGCCAATGTGCTTGCAGCTAACTGAGAGGCTAATGTACATGCGGCTAACTTAGGCGCTATCTGTACACAATAGTGTAAGTGCCATCCACGGCTAGCTTCCTTGTCGGGGGATGACAGCAAGGGTGGACACCTCACCTGAAGCCTAGCTGCCTGCAGGCCACCTGCGTGTTTGAGTCTGTCCAGCCGTCATCGCACACCGTGCCCCACTGACCCCTGTAGTGCACCTCCAGACGCCCTCGGTGGGGCGCCGACCCGTTCACCAGCCTCAAGGAGCCGTCTGGGGGGAAAAAAAACAGACCTGGATGAATAATTTACGCGTTTCTGAGGTGGATTTGGCTTTTACAGGGCAGGCTGCTGATATTTTGTAATACACAGGAGACAACCTCAACTGTATGGAATGTGGAAAGAGTGTGTTTGCTTTGTACGGCAGCCCAGGACGGCAGGGGGCTCGTCACGGACTCGCGAGCCCCGAGTTACCGCGCTAACGTCACATTTGGCCACATTCTGAAACGTCACTACTCTTTCGGTCCCAGAGCATATCTGTTTCTCAATTCTGCAGGAGCTCCAGCTCCAGCTCCTTGGCACTTAACGCAACATTGTTCCTGCTGGAAGAAAAAATATCATGGGCCTCTCCTGTTGTGGAGTGGTAAGAACAGCGTCTATGCGAGACAGTTAAAGAGCTCGATCGTCCTGCAGGAAAGGTAAGATGGCAAGTGATCATACATACACAACAAACAGCAGTAGAAGAATGAGCCATGTTTCCTGTTCAAAGGAGGAACATTTTTATGGTCCTGTAAAGAGCAGTGATTTATTCTGGGTTAAGGCTGGATGAGCAAGACTTTCACAACATAACATTCTGGAAGGATGTTCCTGTTCCTACCGATGTTCCTGTTCCTACCCGCTGTCGGCATACAGGACACCCCTGCATCCTCCCGGTGCTCGCAGTTGTGCTCCCCCCACGGACGCTTGGGGCACTGCTCGATGGACAGCTCGTTGCCAGAGCACTGTACCTCATCCAGCAGCACCTTTCCGGAACCTTCCCCGTAGTAGGCCTGGCCCCAGGCCTGCGCGGTCCCACTGCAGGGAAAGAGTGGCTGCTTCCATTTCACGACGACAATGTGGAACACTCAAAGGCAAGTACGGCTTATAAGAACAAACTCAAACACTATAATTGCTACATTGGAGACTTTTTAAAGCGGATCTGTGAATGTTTTAATAATTACTTTGCCGGTCCGTGGTACTAAACCATACACCCCTTTAACTGCAGACTCTCCTGGGTATTCATAATCTTCTACAGACCTTACGTAATGAATGAACTGCTGTTTTGAGGTATATTATATAGCCGGTCTTATAGTGACTGCAAGCACATGGTAGCACATAGGTTACATTTCAAAATACAAACACTATAAAACGTAGATCAAGTGAATGAACCACGGAGCAGATTTCTCTGACTCAGTATCCTGTAAATATGAAGTGATTCTGTACAATAATTCAGGCCGATCCTCTCTATTGTGCTGCAAAAGGCAGTGCAGCATTTCAGAAGGAACAATGGCGACGATTCACAGTTTGACCTTTAATGTCCACGTTTTCCTATAGGGATTTTTTTTTTTTTCGACAAGCATAGCTTGCATTCCTGCGCATATGCTGGGCGTTTGTGAAAATCTGTGTGTCAGCCTTGTCATTTTCCATCATCCCCTGTTTTTCTCTCGCCTCGTCGGGCAGCCGCTCTCCCACTTAGGCAGTTAAAATCGCAAAGCACAACGCGAGCGCCGGGGTGGGGTGGGGGAGGGGCTCACCCAAAGCCCAGCTGCCTGCACACCACCTCCGCGTCGGCGTCGTCCCACTGGTCATCACACACGGTGCCCCACTGGCCGGCGTGGTATACCTCCACCCTGCCCTCGTACCCGGAACCGCCGCCGGACAGGCGCACGGGCACAAACGTGGCAGCTGGAGCAAGAGAGATCAAAGCAGGGAGATATATGGGCACCTCTCTGGCAGAACGAACTGACCTGCAAGAAGTTCAATAGAGAAGAACTATTTATTGAAAATGAACAAGTGCTATAATGTGGTTTCAAGGCAAAAGGAACAGTATATATGTGTATGAGCCCAGTGCATCTTGGGATAGGCAGCAGGCTTTAAAGTAAAGTGAAAGTAATTAATTTTCATTGTTGACACAACACAACGCAATGTGGTAATCTGCCTTACTTCATAATCCCCTGTACGGCACGGCTATAACATAAAAGTTATATCCTGTAAAGTTCTGGATAAAGAGATTATAGTGAGAGAGTCATGTGACAGGAAGTGACATGAGGATTCTGAGGAAGATATGTCACATGAATCAGTCCAGTAAAGTCACTTTTGATTTAACGGGCATCTAAGCAGGTAAGAGTGACTTTAATGGTGGCGGCAAGGGCTCAGGACTGACCTTCCTGGGGGAGGCAGGTCACAGCGGCAGCTTGCTTCTTGGTGCATTCCCCCCCGTTCCAGCTGGTGGCAGGACACTGCAGCAGGTTGTCCTCGTGTCCCCTGCAGTGCACCGAACGCCAGTGAACCAAGGCGAGGTTCAGCCGGGAAAGGGGTCCTTGTCGTGCTCGCCCCTTGAACCTGATGTAGGACAACAAACAGTAAAGATGTGAAGCGAAGAGTTCTGCGCTATTATGGAAACCTGGAAATTTATTCTGGACAATTAAAGTCTGAGATTTGCACATTTTTTAAGGAATTGTCCGCGAGGTAAAAGTTGATCTTTCAATCAAACTCATAATCTACACTCATCAGGAACCGTATTTGTCTGCTCTGCTAATCAGGATTTTTCATCAACCCAACGAGGGCTTTGTGTCAAGACTGTTAGCGCCTGTATGGCAGGAGTGACTCTCGCCACAAATGCCCCATGAAGAACTGTGAAGCTGCATATGAACAGCAGCTAAATGTCACGTCAGTGGTATGTTAAGGAGAGGGGCCCTGCAGAAAATCTCACCGCCTTTCAACAGACAGGACCGAGGTATCTGTTGCCGCTTCTGCCCCCATATCAACACCTAGGGACATAAAATATTATCGCCTCCACTCGGCTGACCTCATCTGTGTTGCATCAAGAAGACCACAGGTGCTTGAAGGGCACATATCTTTGGGCATGAGCCGTATTGGAATGCGGGGCGGAGACCAGGAGAACTTCCACTGATGGGTAACAGACTAATGGCTAACATATGCTAGATGTATTATTCTTCCTTTGCTTTTAGCCGACAGCCAGCTCTACAACCCCTTATATCAGATTTAAAGCAGAGACGTAATGTACACAAATCTGATATTAAACAGAAAACACTGGATGAAAGGCATTTTAAATATACTTAATCAAAGTCGACTGGTTCATCCATCATCCGCGAATTTTACAGACAGTCTCAACTAGGGGGCAGTATGAGGGGGCCTGGTGTCCCTGCCACGGCTGGGGGTTTGAATCCAGTTCTCTGTGGGGGAGGGTTTGCATGTTCTTCCTACTTTCTCTGTACTCTGACCCCTGCCTCCCTCCAATAACTCTTTACAGGATAAATTAATAGGATAAAAGATTTTTCTAATTTCCTATTGGTCATTTCCTTTACGACCCTTCTGTAATATAATATGAATAAATATAGAAGCTAAGGAACTTTATTTAACATGCGAGGTCATGCAGGTTTAAGCTCTTCTTAGAGCGATGTACCTTTAAAAAACGAGGTAAACCACCTAAACACCACCAGTCAAAAGGTTTTACACACGTCAGGTTTTACCACCTGTCCAATTATTTCATAAACTGCAGATTTTTAAAATTCTTTTTAAGCGTTGGAAAGTTGAGTGCAAAATAAATGAAAATATAAGTCAAATAAAACAAGTTGCCTTTATAACATGGAAAGAGTGTAACTGTATGGCTGACATCCTGTTAAAGTGGCTGTGCGGTGATGGGTTAGTCAAATTCTAGGCTGACTATAAATGCACTAGTTAACTGTCCATGAAACATCCCATGAAACATCCCATGAGACAGAGCAGTATTTAATGACCCTTGTAGAAAGAATGCCTCAAATTTTCTCTACTGTTACAACTGCTGGTGGATGTTACTTTGACAAATCAAAGATGTGACATTTTCTTGCTAATAAAGCTACCCAAATGGTGAACATGCTGTAAATGTATTTGTTAGCAAAGAATATTGAGGGTACTTTTAGTAAATGTTCAGTGAGCAACATGCAAATGTAGAAAATCCGAGTGTGTGCAAAAAACCTTTGACTGGTAGTGTATCTCTCCGTCTGTCCAAATGGTCCATTACCTTGCGCTAAGTGACCCTGAATATTTGGTTCTGGCTGAAAAGGCAGGTAATGCAGAAACAATGTGTTCTAACATAGGTTGTCATAAAACCGCTAAGAGGCTTAGATGGTCTGTGTGATTTAGCAGTGAAACACGACTGTCCCACCGCGCCAGTATAATGGTGAGCCGGCGGAGCGGAGCCTGTATCCACTCCGCTAATCCAGATTAGCGAGGCGCACGCCGCTGCGTAATCCCCCTACCCGTGGCCCAGCTGGCGACAGACCACGGCCGCGTCCTCGTCCCCCCAGTCGTCGCTGCAGATCGCGCCCCACACGCCGTTTAGGTACACCTCCACCGTGCCTTCCAGCTTGCTGCGGCCGCCTTGCAGACGCACCGACCCTGAATGGAGGCGGAAAGCTGCGTTAATGCCGTGATCGGGTGGGCAAAGGCATCCCTGCTGACGGCAAGAATGCTGTGTAACAGACAGAATAGAACGGAATACCTTCATCACCACCGTACAGTGCGCGGCGAAATTTGTCATGCCAATGTGGCAGGAAAAAAAAGGAAAACTAAAGAAAATAACAGCTAAAATATGAATTATATACAAAAATTATATACATATAATTTTTTAGGTTTAAAAGACTATATGAGTAAAATGTAAAGAGGTATGACCATGAGGTAATATTGAGGTAAATTGGCAGTAAGAACAAGTATGACAATGTGACAGTGAAAAAGACTGACACAAAAAAGATATGGCAGTTTGATATGTGACAGTAGAGCAAGCAAGACTGATTATTGCTGGTTCGGCAGGAGAACAGGTATAAACTCTTCCTTGTTCTTGAGGTGCAGGCCTGGATAGTCCTGACGGAAAGAAGGCAAACCGATGGTGACAGGGGTGTTTGTGGTCTGGGACCATACTGGTTGCTTGCACAGTTCCAGGCTTTACACAAAGACAGATACATATAGCAGTATACAGAGGTGGGTAGTTCAGGTGCAGAGAGTAAAAAATCCAGACCAAGGTTTTGTTTCAACCAACCAGTTGAATATGAAGAGTCACAGACACAGAGTACTCAACTGGTTGGTTGAAACAAAATCTAGGTCTGGACTTTAACTCTCTAGACCTGAACTACCCACCTCTGGCAATAAAATATAGATCTATTTGTTTCTTTATTGTAAGTTTCAAGTATATGTAAAACATCCAGGTTATAAAACAAAGCTCTACACAATAAAAATTAAAAGTAATCGACAAATAAATGTATTTTGTTCTCATACAAAAATATTAAATATTATTAGCAATAAACACACATTTAAAATAAATTAATGTAAAGCTCACATTTCTTTGACACATTAGCAGTGTCTGAATCCACAATTTTTCATTAACCCAGTGATTATGACATCATCCATTTATGACATGCATTATGACATCATCCATTTATGACATGCATTTTGACATGCTATTTATCGTTAAACCTTTTGAGCAATGAATACGTATCTACATGCATTTTCAGTTACGTTTTTATTGTAAGCTTCTTCATCATGTCATGTATGTTAAAACACTGAGGGGTTGCATCCAAATAATATTATGCGATGGTCTCCTGAGTATCATTTAATAACCAACAGCGCTAATTAAGCCTTTTAGTTCATTAAGATTCATAAAACATCCAAATTTCCCCTGTTTTACATTGTAGCTATGGGACTGATTTTTTGATTATGTCTGATAGAAACATACCCTAAGCATTCTCCAATATATATGCCTAATGAAGAGATAATTAAAACTTCTAGTGATAAAATTAGAAGTAATAATAGTAACAGATGATATATAGAGCACAGTATTAAGGTTGCCAACAAAATTTGCACTAGAAATATTCACAGATCCTTGCTTACTGCTAATTATTCATTTCATCTGCTAATTTGCGTTTGCCCTGCAGAAAATAGCCTGATGCTAGATGCTATTTCCAAACCTGAATTGGCCCCTTAATGAGTGACACCACAAGGGCTAATACTTCATGCTGATGTACTGTAATATAAATTCAACAGGGGTCTTAAGAGCTCAGCTGGTGTTCCTCCTAGTGGGAGAGAGGGAGAGATCCAGCAAAGTCCAGAATGGCTGGCATGCCACGTCTAATGGTGCTCGGACTCATCAGCGGGTCGTAAATTAGGGAGACTTCTAATAGATGTGCCGTGTTGGCGTGTGACGAGGCCTCCTGGAAGCTGGCACCTGAAGCCGGAATTCCATCCTATACGTAAACAGACTATTTAAAGCATGTCTGACTGGATCAGGATCTCGGGGTCCGTCTTGCCCCAGTTCAAAACAAATTATGCACTGCAGTATGAGAAAGCACCATTAAACCATACATGCATGTGCACAACCAATACAAAAGTCTCATTTACTTTTCAGTCATGTGACAAGAGATACAAGCCTACAGGTTGCACTGCACCACTAAGACACAATCCGGCATTTCCACAGTTTCCCAAAGATAATTTCTGTGGGTCCAGCGGGCTGCTTAAACAATTTGGCTGGATTATCAAAAGCTCACAGGCTAAAATCACGAAATAAATATGGCGGTAGTAGCCATGATTGACATACTACTATATTACTTGCAATATCCATCTGTTTACATAAATAAAGCACACAAATAAAGTGATTTCAAACAGTTGTAGAGCAATACATACCATATATAACAAAACATCAAAAGACTGTATATTTAGATTATTTATGCTTAAATGGATCCATAAACTGTAAGATTAAATTTTAATGATGGGTGTAAGAATAAGTCACGTTAGTTGGTAGCACAAAAACATGATTGTTTTATACCCTTGTGTCCATTAAAACAGGAAATGCACGTTATTTCTCATCCAGATGTGACAGGGCCCTCAGCCAACAAAAGACACTTGCATACCAGTGAGGTCCATTTCAATGTGTCTAGGCTTGTTGCTCTTTTAAAGGAAGAGGAAAGGTGTGCACCAAGCTAACAGGTGTGTTTTAATACACAAAATGAGAACTCATTCAATGACGACATATATCAGTGACGTGTTAATATTTTTAAGTTTAATTGTGTAACACATTGTCCAATATTTTAAAGGGAATGCCACAGAAAATGACAGTACACGATGTTACAGTAACACGTTGGTGTTTACCTTGCTTGCAGTCACAGTAGCCCCAGTCTATTCTCCCTCTGCTGTTCCTGACAAAACACCACGGTCTGATCCTTCCATCGGGATTTCTGCAGAAATTGTGGTCTCCCAGTCCCTTTCCCGGATACCTGTCCTTGATGCCCGCGACTTCGCTCCAGTTCATGCACTTTCCCCCAGACTCGGTTACATCTATCGATCCCTGGTAGTAACCCGCCTTGCCCTTGCTCTGGATGCAGTCCGTAAAAGGGAGAATGAATGAGGAAGGATCGCTGCCGTAACAGCGATTGCCGTTGAAGACCAGCACAATAACCGCGACAAGGAAACTTGCGCTCATTGTGCTATTCAACCTGTGTCCATCACCCCTCAGCAAAATCGTTTAGGTTTTAAAATCTTCTGATCTCATAATCTTGCCACTTTATCAGGTAACATTTACCAAATTCGACAGGAACCCAAATCCAATGAGGCACACAGAAGCAGGTCAATAAATCCCTGTTCAGGACTGGCTGAAACCATACGCCTCATGCATCTTAATTAAGTCCCAATGGGACAAACTGCTTAGAAAGCTTTTCCCATTCGTTTACCTTAAGATCGTCTAAAAGTATTGCAAACAAATTAGCTATGCCTTCAAAAAATGATTATATAGTGCATTTCAACGCAAATGACAGCCTAACTACAGCAGGCTAATAGGCAGCTTTTATCAGACAAGTTCTACTTGAATTTCAGTGAGTCGGTGTCCATATTGACTCATATGGAGTTTTAACAATAAAAAGGACCACCTAAAACTTATCTGTAACTTTAAAATAAAATACAAAGTAGTGCTGAAAAAAAAAACATAAAAACAAAACATAAAACAAAGAAAATTAATAATAAAAAAATTGCCGAGGATCCCTGAATCGCAGTGTGATTCCACTCTTTCTTTTGCCAGCGAATCAAAGCAAAATATACACCTCCCCCGTTAACGGTGTGGCGTTTCCTTCTTTGAGATAAAGTTAGACTTCAAAGAAGTAATTCTATGAAAATAACGAAAACTTCCCCAGCTACTCCGACGCGCACTGCCCGATTTCATAATAACATTTTACTGTATCTTCGGGGGGTCAAAATTACCGTACAGCGCCCCCACAGTCAATTTGAAAACGAAACTTTCTCACTATTTAGTCTGAAAGCCGAAAAATTGTCAGTGGATCGAATAAATACGATTTACTTACTTACAACGCTTTTAATTGGAATTTCGGTTCTAATGAAATCTATAGTATCCGCGTTGCAATGTGGATCGATGTCGAACCAGATTTAACAGCAAACAAAATTATTTAAATTAAAATTAAAATGGTAAATAAGTGTCATTTACTATTTGATTAAATAGGCTATATAATTTTTCGGTGAGTATACTGTAGCAGCTCACCCACCATAGTAAATGATAATAAACGTCCCGTGGTTTAAAAGAGAAGATTATCAATCCGTGCTTCTGTTAACGTTATGTTGGTTGCAAAAAGAAATACTACCGAAATTGGACGATATTACGGACAGCACCACAGAATAGCGGTAATATTGATTTATTTCTGTAATCGAGTTACTTTTGCAATACGGTGTTAAATATATAAAAACTGGGGGAACATATAACAATGATAATAATAATAATTGTTATTGTTATTATTATTATTATTATTATTATTATTATATAGTTTTATTTAACTATCTCATCAATTCGCCGATTAATAGTTTCCATAAACAGCGTCGAGTAACCGGAAGTGACGCTATTCTCGGGCGCCATATGTGTTTTACAAGAAAAAAAGAGGGAACAAAAATACACATAGTCCCAATTTATCTTTAATTAAAATGAATAGCCGTCTTCTGGAGATTAGAGAGAGGCAGAAATTGAGACGGCAACTTCTAGCACAGCAGGTAATGCACTGAAACGTGCGTATTGAATTTTATGAATTGTATTATTCAGTATGTGTGAGCTCTCTGGGTTAGATGTCAGTAGCATTAGCACGTTTAGTCACTACTGCCAGCGAAACAGTAAACGCAGCTCCCATTACTCATACTGTTCACTTGTAGTGAGTACACAGCCTTAAATTATCCCGTGGGAACGTGTGCGTTTGTGTTACTGCCTGTACAGCTAGCTAAACGTGCATGCTATGTTTGTAGCCGGCGAGAGAATTTAATGTTTTGCAGCATGGAGATGGGTATGTTTAATTGTTTTGAGAACTTGCGCTGGATTAACCGACATTATTTATCCTTTAAAACACATGTGTGAAGGTATAATCACGGGGTTTCTTGTTCTCGGCAGTTGGGAGCTGAGAATCCGGACAGTATCGGCGCTGTACTTAATAGCAAAGATGAACAAAAAGAGATCGAGGAAACCAGGGAGACCTGCAGGTTTGTGTTTATATTATTATTTTTATATAGTCTTACAGCTATTGTTCGGGTAGAGGGTGAACGGTGACATTTTGCATCCTTTGCATGTATTATCTGTTCTTCGTAATTGCATCACATTTATGTCTATTCCCTATTAATCATTAATTATAATACTACGCCTGAATTTCCGAAGACAGGCTTGAGGCTTAGTTTTCGTGGAGTTAAAGTTGGTCCCACGGTGACGTTTTTCACTTTGCTGTGGCAGGAAGTTTCACAGGACGGTACAGCAATACCCCTCGTATTATTCAGTTATATGTTCTTATAATAATCCGTTTTCCTCAAAAGGAACTGTAAATGCACAATCAACTACTAATCAACTAACCTGTAAAAATGAATCGTTCCATCCAAGGGCTTCATTTGATGCATCAGCTGTGAGTGGCAAGCGAAAATGTCAAGCAGAAGGAGAGGACACAGAGGAAGACTTAGAGGAACAGAAGGTATAGCTGTCAGGATGCTTCCCCCCCCAAGACTGTACATTAAAATAGTTGGAAATGTTGAATTATGCACAATCATTGATTCATTATTTATTTATTTAACAGGATGAAGTGGAACAGCAGCAGACGGATGAGAGTGCGCCATATGAAGAAGTTTACAAAGATTCCAGTACGTTCCTTAAGGTGAGTTTGCATGGCTCAGACATGGCGAATGGGTGTTTTCAGGCACTGAGAAGTGTGACCACATCACGCCATTACTCACATCCCTCCCATGGTGAATGGGTCTTTTCAGGCACTGAGAAGCATGACCACATCATGTCAGTACTCACATCCCTCCTATGGGGAATGGGTCTTTTCAGGCACTGAGAAGTATGACCACATCACGTCAGTACTCACATCCCTCCCATGGTGAATGGGTCTTTTCAGGCACTGAGAAGCGTGACCACATCACCCCAGTACTCGCATCCCTCCCATGGCTTCATTTACAGTTTAGGATAGATTACAAGGTTCTCCTGTTTACCTTTATAGCTATAAGAAGACTTGCTCCTACCTACCTTACTGACCTGAGTACTCCTTACGCCCCAGCTACGTCTCTCAGAGGGGTATTTCACGAAGCAAGAATTCTCGATTAGCCAGATAACTTGTTGGATTTAAGGTAGTCTGAGGTACATTTAACTGGACGAAGACCTTAAATCCAACAAGTTATCTGGCTAAGCAAGGAATCCTGCTTCGTGAAATACCCCTCCAGGTCTGCTGATCTGTTTTTGTTGACTGCCAGAAAGTTTAGGCCCTAAACTGTGTAATAAGGACATAAGAAATTTACAAATGAGAGGAGGCCATTCGGCCCATCAAGCTCGTTTGGGGAGAACTTAACTAATAGCTCAGAGTTGTTAAAATCTTATCTTGCTCTGATTTAAAGGAACCCAGGGTTTTAGCTTGCACTACACTAACAGCAAGAATAATCCATACTCTAACTACACGCTGTGTAAAGAAGTGCTTTCTCAAATCCTTTTTAAAATGTTCTCCTGGAATGGCTTACTCCGAAATGTTAGAATGGCACCTTCACTGCCTGTTTTCAAATCTCATCTAAAAACACACATTTATTCCTTAGCTTCTAATTCAGTTTGAGAGTTGTTTGTTTACCAATTGTCACTGATTTTAAGTCTTATTGTTTTTGTTCATTCAGTTGTTTTAAGTTCCTCTTGTTACACTGTTTTGTCATTCTGTGTTGTTTTTAATGGTACATCGTCTGTACGGCACTTTGGGTTCAACTCCTGTTGTTTAAAAGTGCTTTTTAAATAAACATGGCTCGACTCGACGCCTCATCAGTCATGCTACAACGACACTAATGCTGTGCAAATCTTTGTTCCAGGGAACCCAAAGCTTGAATCCACACAATGATTACTGTCAGCATTTTGTGGATACTGGTCACAGGCCACAGAACTTCATACGGGATGTCGGTATGTGAAATGCTAGCTTTGTCTGACCCAGTTTCTTTCTAGAAAAAATGCTGTTTCTACTTGTTTATATGCATGGATGCATTCTATGTATTTATTCTATATGTTTATTCAGCAAGAGGAGAGCTTGTGTAGAGTTTGTTGTAACAACCAATACAATTTTCTTAATCTTTTCCTCCTCCTGTAGGTCTTGCTGATCGCTTTGAAGAATATCCGAAACTCAGAGAGTTGATAAGGCTGAAAGACGAACTGATTTCCACTACAAATACTCCACCCATGTAAGCCAGGAATCATTTAGTGCTCACAGGCCTCCTAATTACACCTTCATAACACCTAAGAAGGTTGAGCCTTTCTTTGCATTTTCAATGTAAACAAAAGCTACCACTTAGGAATCATTACTCTCTCTCTCAATTTTAATTAAACTATAGTGATTATTTTTTAATTTAAAATGAAATCATATTGATCTTGCATAAATTTCTGCTAGTGCTAGCAGTGTGGAAATCACCCCAGGTGATATTGTGTTATATGTGTTTCAGGTATCTACAAGCAGATTTAGAACATTTTGACTTGCGAGAACTGAAGTGTAAGTTTGATGTGATCCTGCTTGAGCCGCCCCTGGAGGAGTACTACCGAGAGTCGGGAATCATTGCCAACGAGAAGTTCTGGACCTGGGATGATGTGAGTAGTGGACTTTTTTTTTCAATGAATTAACCCTTTCAAACCGTAGCTGTCGCCTCCGACAGGTTTTTTCAATGTCATTGTTGAATTGCCATAACTCTTGAACCGTTTGCGCAATAGAAAAAAATCCAACGGTTTCTGAAAGCAGAGAAGCGGCGCTTTTCAGTGATATTACTGTCATTACGGTAGTCCACCGCACGGCTTCACTGCAGCCCCGGGAATCTGAATGTTGGTTGGTAGTGAGTGAGTGAGACGGAGCTCTGCAGAATAGTGATTTTATCGGACATTTTAGGTGAAAGAATGGGACAAAGGCACATACTCACAGCAGGTTTTATGACACTTTTACAGCTAAAACAACCAAATATGTCCAGGCGACCTGTTTTGAATTATAGGGTTTAAAGGGTTAACAAGAGAGTCATTCTTAAAAGTTGGCCTGTACTACTGGTTTAGTTGATCTTCGGCCTGCGGCCATTAGATTTGGCTGAGCCCTATTTGTGGGTGTCGGCTAGTAGCAGTGGTCTGCCACAGGTCGATATTTATTTAGCTGGGGGGGGGGGTCCCAGACTTTCACAACCTTTTTGGAGACAAATTTATAACGAGGCACGCCAATGTGAGTTGATCTGTATGTCTGTCTGTCGGTTGGTCTCCTGCCATCATCGTTTATTACGTGAAACACCAGGAGGGAGCAAGAATTGGTTTGAGGGGTTTGGTACTGAGAACCGGTTTCAAATTAGAAACAATTCTACATTTTTAAGAACCAGCAATTTCAGACACTTGAATTATGGTTCCACTTGTTGATTCCTACACATGCACTTTTAATCAACCATGTAAGGGTTAATGCACGACAGCTTCACTTACACATTTGTACTTGAAATTATTTTCACGTGCACGAACTGAAAACACATTTATTAGTAGAACTACTATTTAGTCTTGGGAGGTAAAATGGCACTAAAGCATACTGCAACATTTCCTTTTAGCAAAACTGTATTTCAAGATACAGAAATAGCAGTGCTTTTTAAAATAGAGTTAAAATATCGTACACCTCAATGTAATGTCTGGATGGTATCAAAAATTAGATACTGTTACTATTAATATTTTGGATATATATGTCCCAAGTCACCATCTTTTATTCGAAAGTACTGTGTTACTAAGACCACGAACCAGTTGTTAGTTTGGAAATTGCCTGCTGATTAACTCAAAGGCCAGTCTTTGTATACAAATATATCAGCCAAATACGCAATAACCATGGTTTAAGTGGGTACCATGCATTTTTTTTAGCAGGCTGCACAGGAAAAGTGTATATATATTAATTTGGCCATTGATTCATTAATTTAGTTTTAGGAAGACGCTTTAAAAAAAATAAATGCAATAAATAGGAACCGAATTCGATGCACAGAATCGGAATCAGATTTGGAATCGATAAAATCTCAACAGTACCCAATCCTCTGTGTGTGTGTGTGTGTGTGTGAAAGAGTGTGAGTGAGAGAGAGTGAGTGTGAGTGAGTAGAGTAGAGTGCTAACACGAGGCAGTTGTCATCTTAACAATGCGTGTTGGGGATGATTCTGTGCATGATGTCATCTATCTGGTTCAAAATTGCTCTTCTTTGGTCCTTTGGTGATAATGAGATGATCTATAGTGTTTGTTTAAAAAAACAAATTAATTAATAATAAAAATTAAAAAGAGCACGACTTCACTCTGTGACTTTTAAAATACAGGAATTACAATGTGATGTTTTAAGTCGTATGTTTATTAACAAAGCATTTATCAGTCATGCAATTAAGATGGAGAAAATATGAATGTGATGCGTTGCATGTCGATTTAAGTGGTGCGCCTACAATTTTCGGGAAGGAGCACCAGGGCTGTGGTGGAAAAAGTTAGTCTGGAGTCCTGGCCTGCGTTTTTTGAGTTTTTACCAAAGGAATGCTGTTTCCCTTGTGAGAGTGACGCTTTCTTGTGTCTTGACAGATAATGAAACTGGAAATTGAGGAGATATCTGCCTTGAGGTCCTTTGTCTTTCTTTGGTGCGGGTCTGGTGAAGGTCTGGACCTCGGAAGGATGGTGAGTAAAGATCCGAAGTTGGGGTCTCTGCGGTAGTTTTAATTTCTGGGTTATGCTGTTCACGAAATCTGTGATACAGTGCTGCACAAATATTCGATAAACCTCAGAATGAAGATGTTTGAAAAGAACACACGTTCCAGATATCTCTAATGGTTACTTGGACACTTGCACATAAGGGTGTGGTGCAGAACCTTTCCATTTTAAGCTTGTGTTCTTAACGTAGAGTGGAAATAGCAACAGTTGGTGGCACGCTGATTTAATACGAGAGACTAAAGTTGTCAGAGGGAGGGATTGCTGTCGACAGGCAAAACAGTCAGAGGTTGTGTGCGTTGTGAAATACGCAGAAAATAAACTACCATCATGCAACAGCATGACGTGTGAAGGGGAAGTTGAAACGGAAATATCCCACCGTGGCAGAGAATTCTATGGGCTCACTTACCTTGGCTAGTTTATTATTAACTTTATATTGCAGTATATGTGTTTAGTAAATGCTGTTATCCAGAGTAACGTACTTTAATGAGAGAGCAAGTTAAGGGTTGTTCTTAAGGACCCAGCTGTGAAATCACTCTGCCAACCCTGCGATTCGTGACCCTCCGATTACAGGCGCGGCGTAGTAACCTACCGAGCGAAACACATTACTCTCCAGAAAGTAATAATATTCTAAAATCAAATTCGAGTTGAAAAATTGAATATTGGAATACTGGAATAGTTTCAGGCCTACTGTAGCATCGGTTAATTTTTTTCTGAAGGTCCTTTGGGAATCTTAAGCTTTGAAGGTCCTTTGGTATGTGTTTAATGAAAATGTCTAACTGGAGAAACCTTTCTCTATGATTCACCCCTTAACTAGTCTCAGACAGGGCTTGCTTGGAATGTTTTTAATAATTACATCATTATCTGGCATTAGCTTAGACGGCTCTGGAGGGGTCCTCGTGTCTGACACCATGCTACCATCGCAACGCTAAACCCAGCTTGGTTTTTTATTTCTATAAATGAAACCACAGCTGTCTTTGTCATTTTTGGGAGCGCCCACATAACAGCTTGGACTGAGATCGAGGTTTGTCAGTTTTTTTTTTTTCCCTCCCCCTTATAACTCTGGAGCTCAATGACTGCAACACAAGAGCTCAGAGTTTGTCCAACTGCAAACCATTTTTCCGGAGCAGTAATATTGCGGAAACGTCCGTCATATTCTGAATTAACCGTGTATCAAACTACAGTGTTGGCAGTTTCAGATTTATCAGGGGAGGGACTTTCTAAAGCCCACACATGGCGTGACCATGTGATTATCAGATTTATAAGTAATAGGGCTGGATAAAGTGTAAATTTTGCCCCTTTTTGAATTGGCTGGCTTTATAGGATGTTCAGTTTTAGGGCAGCTGCGATTAGTCAACACTGTAGCCAAAAGTGCGTCGACATCAATATTTTTAATCGACGTATAGTTTTTAAAATTTAATTTAATGAAGTAACCTTTATAGTTTCTAAAACACTTTGACTCCATTACAACAATTGTTTTCTTTTGTTATCACTATGTAATTATGGGAGTAGTTCAAATTATCACTAAACAAAAAGGTGGTCTTACGCCGTGCGAAGTCTTGATGGAATTCCACAGCAGTACTAGCGCCATGCACTGAAGAGGGGAGACAGGCGCTGTTCTGGATGACGGACCGCCAGAGTAGGCAACGCTGCCGTGTTGTCTATTCATGTTTAGTACGGGGAGTTTTTTTATATCTTATGTCCTTGTAGCTGGTAAATACACTCATTATTAAATCCATTGTCTGCCTGCTAATATGTTCTGAATGCATTTCTTATAACTTTTTTTCTTTTTATGTGTCTCTACTTCTTGGCACTTATTTTGTTAGCTTGTTTTTATTCTTTTACCCCTCTGCCTTATAGCGCAGTCTGGAGTAGCGCTGGTTTCAATTCTCTGCTGTTTCATACCGCTGCGTTCATGTATGCAATAAATAAAATTCTTGAACCTTGTTACGAGTGTAAAGCCTTCGTATGAATCTGGAAGTCCTCCCCCCCACCCCCCTTTCACCAGTGCCTGCGAAAATGGGGCTTCCGCAGATGTGAAGACATTTGCTGGATCAAGACCAACAAGAATAACCCGGGGAAGACGAAAACTCTGGACCCCAAAGCCGTCTTCCAAAGAACAAAGGTAGGTTCAGGAAGCAGATCAGCGCTGGCGGTCTGTTTTATCCCATTGAAAGGCCTGATTAATTCATAATCATTTCTGCCTGCCCCTCCTCCCTTTTGTGGAAACACAGTATGCATTGCCGCCCCCCCCCCCTTCCCTGACTACCCCCTACCCCAACTGCATGGTCATTGATATGCAAATGAGAGGGGGTGTCTTGGAAGTGTTTGTCCTGCGCTGGGAGCCTGAGCGATGCGACGGGCCTGAATAGCCATTCACTGGCTTCCCCTTTTGTGCGGCCGCATCGCTATTGATTGGACTCAAATTACCTAACTAATTTCTTTCTAGGGGAAAAGGGCGAGACGAAAATGCATCTATTGTGCGTTTTACTAAGTATTGAGCCGAGAGCGTTTCTCGGGGTTTTGTACATTTAAAAGGCGACATAATATCCTTAAGAGAGATGCATTGACGTGCAGAGCTTGGCTCAGTCGGGGAAGGGGTGTGTGTTACTTTGTGGGTAAAAACAATTACTTTCGCTTTATTAACTTTTCCGAATAGCCATAGACGTAGAAAGCAGATGGTCGATGTTTCTGATATTTACCTAATGGTAATCTAGATGCCCACTTAACCTTTCTCTACCTCACCAACCCAGGAGCATTGCCTAATGGGAATCAAGGGCACCGTGCGGAGGAGCACGGACGGCGACTTCATCCACGCCAACGTGGACATCGACCTGATCATAACCGACGAGCCCGAGATCGGCAACATCGAGAAGCCGGTGGAGATCTTCCACATCATCGAGCACTTCTGCCTTGGACGGAGGCGGCTTCACCTGTTCGGAAGGGACAGCACGATTCGGCCAGGTGAGCCCAAATGGGTCCTGGCGCCTTTGCCTCCCGGCCGAGTGCCCCCCCCCCCGTGTCCCACGAGCTCGCTCTAGGTCAGCGCTTTCTGGGGAAACGCATCAGACACCAGCTTAGTACGTTGTCTTGGACACCATCGCTCAAACATTCTGTCTGCGTTTCCCTACTTAATTACGGTGAATTTCTGAACCGCGTGCTGAGCAACCTCTGGGGGCTCTGTCCTCCAAGGACCTTTTTCATTGTGTCCTGCCTCATTATTCCAGACGCGCAACGGCAACATCTGCAGGACAGGCAGGGCTCTCGATTGTATTGAGACGTAATTTAAACAGACATAAATGCTTCCCTCTTCCCACTGCAGTCTTTTTCCGCTTATGAATAATCGGTTTCTGTCCTTGTCTTTACCCTACCCTGAGTTTTTTTTTTTTCCTTCTTCTTTTAATGATCTCAAAAGCTACGTACAAAGGAATGTTTATTTAAGCAATAGAAATGTTGATACATTTGAAAGTGTCCGATAAGATAAATAGAGAAATGTGTAACATTCGTTTTCAGCTTTTAAGCTAAGGGTTAGCATGAGTTAATGAGAATAGTAACATCTGTAAAGCATTTTCGTTTAATTTATAGAGCAGACGCTTTTGTCCAAAGCGTACAACTGAGAAGGCGGGGTTACAGTCTCCCTGGAGCACTTGGGGGCTAAGGGCCTTCCTCAGGGGCCCGACGTTGAAATCACTCCGTTGACCCTGGGCTTTGAACCAGCAACCTTCTGATTATAGGCACCGCGTCACGACCCACTGAGTCATTTTCTGTCAAAATGGATATGGTTAAACTCCCTTATCATAATTTGCTTGCCTAATTATTACATATAAGACATTCCTTCTATTGCTAAAGTCATCTTTATGTTCTTTAAGGTCTTGCTCTAAGCCCATCTTGATTAGGGTGGGGTTTGTTACATACATTTGCTCTAATGTAACACAGCTGTGGCTACTAATAGCCCAGCAACTGGTCTTTATGACGTTGTTGTAAAAATCAATGCAGACATCCTGCATACCATCCCGTTAAAGCAATGGCAATAAGATGCGTTCACGTGTAGAGTAAGTGTTCCCAAGTGATACTGCTGGTAGACCCCCCCCTGCTCTACCGGTCTGTGAGTTTTTCGTAAGAGTAGCAAATCTCTTTGCAATCATGAAAAGGTTGGGAGCTCCTGGTGTTTACGTTCCTTCCCGAGCATGAAGTGTGCTTTATAGTCCACTAAAGGGTGCTTTATAGTGCACTAAGTGTTTCCGAGGTTTGGGGGAACTCCGACGTTGACGATAATGATGGCAGAGAGATCTTCGTGTCGTTTTTCAGGCTGGCTGACAGTGGGCCCGACGCTGACCAACAGCAACTTCAACGCGGAGGCGTACGCGGCCAATTTCAACACGCCCAACTCCCACCTGTCGGGCTGCACAGAGGAGATCGAGAGGCTCCGCCCCAAGTCGCCTCCCCCCAAGTCTAAGTCAGATCGGGGTGGCGGAGCTCCGAGAGGCGGCAGGGGAGGGCCTTCGGCGGGCCGCGGGGACCGGGGCCGCGAGCGCAACCGTCCGAATTTCCGTGGCGACCGCGGGGGATTCCGAGGCCGTGGTGGACCCCACAGGGGATTTCCCCCACGCTAGATCGGGCATGCAGCCTGGGGCAAGATAGGACCCCTATCAACAGCCCTTGATTCTGGGATTGTTTCAGAGCCCAGAACAGAGGCTGGCAGTGCTGGGGCTCCGGATCTGTGGTTCATCTGTTCTTGCCCGCACTCACTTTGATTACTGTCATTGTTTGAATAGAAAATAACATTACTCGCCTTTTGAAGAGGCGAATCGTTTACCGATCGGGCCACTATCCAGCCTAGCAGCTGTCTTCTGCCCGCAGAATCACATGATGTTATCGTTACGTTCAATGAAGACTTTAATGAAAGTGAGTGCCGAGGCGTATTAAGGTTACCGCGCACTGCCGGGTCAGGTGTGAGATGCCGGAGATTACCGTTGGCGGCTCGAGTGCCACCTGTGTGCCTGAACGCTGAAACATGAAGCCACTGGATGGCCTGCGAATTTGTTCAGATATTTCCATCATCCTGGAAATGGACTGATTGTTTTTAAATATGTTTTATACTTAAGTATGAATTGCTTTTATTTTTGTCACGTTCGCGGGCCTTTGTACGAAGCCTCTGAATCATAAGAAATGTGAGAAGTTGACTTAATAAACGGCTGAACTTTTCATCCAGTACTCCTATCTATTTCTGCTTCTCTCTATTTTGCTCCCTAATTATGTGTAGATTTGAATGATTAGGATTTCAGTTAAATGTTTTTTAATGTTTGTTTCTCAGTAGGCCAGAGTATTTGTATCTTTAATGTCAAAGTAGAATACTTCTCAGCCGAATTTATTTATTTTCCTTTTGTTTTTTTTGTCCAATCTCCAAACAAAAGCCAATACTTTGAACCCAGCTTCCCCAAACCTTTTCTTCAGTTCCCTAAATGGTAACCTTAGACAGCATCACCTGATACACACAGATTTGCAGATCTAAATATTTTCTGCATAGCCCTAAGCACACCTGTCATCATAAAATACCATTATCCTCAGGCTGTCATTCAGACAACAGTGCCACTCAAAACAACATAATGAGCACACAGATGTCATGGTTTAAGCACTAACAAGCTTAGTAGTTAATACATTGTTCTAAACGTGCAAGCAACCAATGAGAAAATAGTAATGCTGTTTGGATATATGCATTCAGGTATATGCTCTCTCGTAATGGAGATCAGCAATTGCTTAAGGAATCTAGGAAGAGGCAGAGAGAGATGTGGTGAGGAGGTGGAGCGGAGAATGTCAATGAGGACAAAGTACAAGACACTGTGTCACAGGCGAGATTGGAGCATGATTATCAAACACGGCTCTGGGAGCAATATCACGCTCTGGGTAGCCGTCAGCCACCATAAAGTCCCCCACCACCAGGCTGGACAGTTAACAGAGCACATCTGCACGTGTTCCTCAGTGGTCATCGAGATGCTGTGATGGAACAAGAACATCAACGGCACCGCCAGCCAGCGCGTTCTTACGTTATAGTCCGGAATGATGATGTCAGTTTTTATCGCAAAGTCTGTGTATGATTCAACAAGAATACAAGACTCACAAATCTCTTCCTTCGGTCTTATTCCCCATTTCTCAATCCTGTGGAACAATTTTTTCCAGGCATAGCAGTGGAAAGCATATGACAGACATCAATTTGACTGGTAAATTCTTTCTCCATGCTTCTCCGGTTTATTTAGCAGATGATTTTCCTCCAAAGTGACATACATTTCACAGATCAGGTTCAGACTGTATCCCTGCTCAAGGGGCCCGGCGGTGACAACACTTGGCCATACATGGGATTTGAACTGATGACCTTCCGGATTAACACTCAGAGCTGCACACTGCTTGAGGTGACATAGTTGTAGACTCCTTCCCACGGTGAATGTGTCACTGCAGGAAATATTTCCCATAGTTTTCTGCCGGGGGGGATTGCACGTGATGCTGATGAAACACTCTGGCTTGATCTATAGCCCAACAACAGGATGCAGAAAAAAATCTGCTGTATTTTTTATTCCATTTGCTATGATGACTATTTTCTTTCTGTAAACCTCACCACTATAAAGTATTTCATATTTAATTCTGTTCAGATTATTCTTGGACAGTACAGTGCTCTATTCCAAAAAAAAAAAACTTACATCTATTGAATGAATTGTTTCTTCTACGTTTATGGCTTACATACACATTTTTCAATTCACTAGTGTGAAGTTGATAAAAGTAGGGTCTATATATTTGATGAATCTGTATGTGCTTTGGCAGCAAAGATTTAATTGTAAACAAAGTTCCCATGTTTTTGAGTCAATTCTTGGGTTTTGCCCGGCAATGCGTTTTGGAGATTATAGTTAAAGCTTTTAGTTTTTATGTTTGGGGTTTTGGAAAGAAAAACATTGGTGGTTCCAGAAAATGTATCTTTGCAGTTGTGAAAATCTGTAATCAAGCATTTGATTGATGTGTTTCTATGGCAATTACTGAACCATTTCGCAAACCGCAGTGTATGTTCGAATCGTAGTCACTAAGGAACGGCAATGGATCGTGAAAGCGCTTTCGTGTAATACAACACTGACATCTAGTGGTAGAAATACAAGTCTGTCCTGCCCATTTTTGCACTTCCCAAGATATTCATTGTTTAAGCTTCAAAATAAATGTTTCTACTTTCGTTTTATAAAATGTGAGATTAGTCAAAAATCTTTGAATGACGAGTATATAATAACCAGAACTAATGAACTGAAATGTAGTTCTGCTTAATGATTACATTAATTTTAATTTATTGTATTTTATACGGTAATACTGAGTACGTAGTATAGCTGGTATTTGCAATTGATTACAGTCACGCTAACATTATGCAGTGGAAATAAAAGGTGCAGGTTACAATCATTTTTCAAAAATGTTTTATCCTTAAATGGTTTCTGACGGAAGGGATTCGTTTGACTTTTACTTGGCGTGTTATTCCTGGTTAATCAATCACATTGAGTTGAATATTTCTACAGAAAATACCGATGCAGTGATATCACTAATTTGGTTTGACAGCTATTTCACAGTACGTGTGGATTTTATATTTATATTCAGATGTATTAAGCGGGGTTTCAGGTGGACTGGCATTGAAAATCCCACCGACTGCAATTTATTTGAAGTGTTCGTTCTTACCGACTTTTTTTTTTTGTTACAGATGAAACCTATTTAAATCAGAGTTTATTTTGCACCATAGTTTTACCAATATGTCATCCTTTTTTCCAGGAGAAAAGCCCAATAAGAATACGACCTATAACGTTGCTTCCCATTCAGTTTCCAATTATTGTTGTTACATGCCTTCTAACACGACTGTGATGGTTGACTTAAGTTCTCAAGGACTGGGGGGGGGGAGACAACGAAACAACAAAACGTCGCAATGTGTTAAATTCAACGTGTGTTTGACAAACGCTCGCTTGATAGAAAATCGTTGAAAACAAAGTAAGTTTGCGTGTGAACTGGTGCCCGGCCCCTTGGCTCATAAGAATAATCCGTACCCATAATAGATTTTCCACATTCCGTGGCTTCAGATATTTTCCTTTCCGGATGGTCTTGGATCAAGGGGTTTCTGGGCACCGATATTTGCCAGGGCGGACCCCTGTAAATAGCGGGCAAACGGGCAGTGACGCGACATCCAAGGACTGTGTCCGCATTTCTTCATTTTAAGAGCCTGGGGCAACGGCCGCTCATGCTTCGAGTCAGCTAATAAAACCGTACAGAACGTAGATATTAAAATATTTTTTTTAAATGTTAAAACCGATAGCTTTTATTGTCCTACATTTCCGTGCCTCAGTGTAGGCTAGTTCTGTTCCCTGAGTTTTTAAATGATTTTTTACGTTTTCCGGTAGAGACAACTAATGATGTTCCTCGTTAAAAATAACAGTGGAAGGATTTCCAGTTTACCATGCAATGAATTCTTGCAACCCAACGAGGTTTTTTTTTCTGGTCATGCTGGGGATGACATTCAGATCTTATCCACTAGATGTCAGTGTCTCCTAGCTTTAGATTTGGATTTACCGATATGCAACTTGTCTGTGGGAATATTTGTTAATGTCTGATTTATATAGTCCTCTACAAAACGCTCGTTAGTAAAACAAAATATGACCTCAAAATTCAATTTTCTCTTATAGGAATATAGGTATTCTGAATGTTTTGTGAAAAGAGACTCAGCTCACTTGCATAGTTTATTGTTGAAAATGTAGGAGTATTTGTGAATATATATCAAATACTGAGCGGCCGTATATATATATATATATTTGGATTCGATTACGTGGTATCGCCAATATTCCACCTGAGGACGGTCAGGCCTCCAGAGTAACATAAAACAATTAGGCTGCCCTTTGATCTAGTATCTCAGATCCAGTCTTTTTAATCAATTAACCATGAAGCCGCTCAGCGTGTCGGTCCATCAGCCCCGTCGCGGCGCAGATGAAAGGTGGCGCAAACTCTGAAAGACGGCTGCACCTGGGCAGAGGAGGGGCAGCACGGATGCGGCACCTCCCCCCCCACTCCACCGTTTTCCATGGATGAGTTTTGTACTTAAGATCGGCATGGAATTCCGTTGAGCTGCTTCTGCGTCGCTGCCTGCTAAATATGTATGTTAATCACCGCCCGTGTATATCTTTGCATTGCACTTGGCGGTGAACATATTCCCTTAGCGATAGAACGGGACAGTTAGATCCATCCTCCTCACATCTGATCCTCCATTTGACTCCCCAAAAAGTTATTACCAACTGACATTATCTTTTCTTTCTTAATACTTTATTATGTGGACCCTGAATCAAATTCTAAGATCAAAGGGAGCTATCGGTTATGTCGTTATCATTTTGGCTATCGTTGCGTTATGTCTGAAGTTTCTTTTTTAATGAAATCTGTCATAGTTCTAGCGGCCTTAAATTTGCCCCCTCCCCGTACTCTGATGTAATCTATTGCCATTCATTTTAACCAAACCAGCCTTATGCCCCTAACATTTTCTCCCCAGAATCCTCTTACAGGGCCACGCAAAGCACGTTTTGACATTTCAGCATTTACCCACCGCTGTGTTAATCCCCGCCAAATGAGCAGGGGGGGGGGGGGGGGGAGACGTCAATGAAGAATGAATGGCAGCATGTCAANGGGGGGGGGGGAGACGTCAATGAAGAATGAATGGCAGCATGTCAATAGCAATTTACGTTGTTTTTTTAGGTTGCAAAAAATAATTAGAGGTTTAGCAAAGTTTATGCAGCGCGTGCATGGCGCGTTGAAATGTATTTCCGTGGCTCACGTGAAATTCAGGTTCTTTAAGTAGTTGTTAAAAAAAGAAACCAAGAATGAAAACGGTTAGACCAGATGTGGCATACACTAAATATCTAAAGCGAATAATGGTAAAGCAAGGCTCAAGCTACAATGAAATAGTAAAAGGGACAGGCCACTCATTGCCAATCTTATATAGCCATTAAAAAAACCTGTAAAAAGAACTCAAACATTTCTGAGAGGAAATATTGATGTATAATACTTTCCTTGGCATTATGCTTCTATTACCATACTTTATTAAATCAAACAAATTTCACTTAGCAAAAGCTTTGAGTGTTATGGCACTAATCCTATGTCAAGTGACCATGGCTGTTATTACTATATCTATGAAATATAATGATTTTATTCACTTTAAACAGGCA